TTATTAATGTAAAGCCAAGTGGCTTCCTAGTTAATATTAGATGCAATAGTAGACCATTGTTGAAAACGATGTTGGGAGGTCCAAAGTGTTATAATATGAGCTTGGCAGATAGTGCGAATAGAGCGACGAGTAGGAATTTCAATAGGAAATTGGTCATAAAATGGAGTGTAGGCAGAGTTATAAGGGTTGTTAGTTGAGAATGTTAAGAAAGGTAGTATTTGGTGATTACGAGCAAGTTGGTCAGTGAAATTGTTAAATGGATCATCTTGGTGTCCAATAACTTTGTAGAAAGTAAGCTGAATATTGTATGAATTAATGAAGTTGATGAAGGTTTGCCAGATGGAGAAGTATGGAGTATGAGTATGAGAGAGTTTAGAGACTGATGACTTAATAAAACTTAAATATCAAAGTAATAGAAATATATTATAAAGTAAGTACCAAAATTAGGATAAACTTTATAAGATCATAACAGTTTAAAAATAAATCCTAATTGCAAATGTTGATTTTAATTATAATATTATCAAATCAACTATAAGAATAGAATACAAAAGATTTTAAAAGATTTAATACAAGATCAAAGATTTATTAGATAAATGAACTACCTTAAAAACTTAATAACCATGATATATTTTTACTGATATTAACTAGTATCATTGATAGATATAGATAGATGAATAGATATAGAAACTAAAATGTTTAATTAAAGAACTTACAAGCAAATTCCAAATATGGCAATTAGTGTAGAACCTTTGAGTGAACTACTTAAATTAGACAATGTTTTAAGTTGTACGAATAACTAGTTGTATACTCTTTTTATAATTGCTCCTTGTGGTTGTAATGCAACCATTAACTGAATATACTATCATAAAATCCTGGGTTACAAGTACTCATCTTAATATTTAAAAACGTAATAAAAAATTGACAACATGCAATTCACATGTGATCACAAAGTTTCAAATAAATAAAAATGCGACGTTTTTCTAAATAATTGTGGTTTGAAATGATCGCCAATCATATCGAACCTTTGCTGTGCAGGTACATTCATATAATGATCTACATACTACATAAACCCGCTAACCCTAACTGCATCAAAAAAGTAACCTAACTGGCACCCGTCCCCTGTATCAGTATACCATGATTTATGATAGCAGTACAGGATCGTCAGATTAACATTTTTTACACTTCTCTTTTCTGTTCCATTACGAAATGACAACTAAATTAAACGAAAAGAAGATAACACCCATGCCTCCAGAAATTGAGGCATTAAGATTAGCTGCTCTTTCAACGAGAAACCCCAGAAAAGATAAGTCAAAAGCCGAAGAGAGTGCGACTCAATACGATTTTCCTGTTGCAAATGTATCCAGCGCAACAAATTCGCCTATCATGCAACCAACATCTGTGAATCAAGCTACTGTTGAGGACGTCATTATTGAAGACGATAACATTTCTGAAAGAGAGGAAGGCGAATTAAGCGATTCAGATTCAATAAACGGTTGCAATGAACCTATCAATGAAAGTGGGTTTCAACATAAAGGTGAGGAAACCACTGTACTAATGGTTAACACCATAGATCAACAACAGTCCTATCAACAGCCCTGTCTAGGTAGGTATTTATCTTCAATTTTGTGTAAGAAAGAGGTAGTGAAAAGCTTTGAAGGATTCATGATTTCAAGTATGATATTTTTTCACAAAGGTTCGATATTAATTTCCTGGGGCGTTAATCTTCAGGAAATAAAATCTTTGTCATGTGGACTTTGATCATTGAGATTTTTGTTGGAATGAATAATTTTCCGCTTAATTTCTTAATAATAGGACTAACCACACAAATTTCTACTTATCATCCAATTATCTCCCAATTAAATATTTATATCAATCTATGCGTTTATTCTTTTTCCATAAATCTAGATTCAAAATATGCTGAAGAAGAATTAACAAGAAAATTGTTATCTGATTTATACCGGTTGTCTGCTACACCTGATGACATAATTGAGGCAGGAATTCCTGTGGACGTTGTTATCAGGTTTTCTCGTGAGATAAATTATCCGTTACCTGCACATCTTGCCGTATTTAGTATCCCTGTTCGTAAAACATTAACACCCACGAGTTCAAATATGGTGGTTAATTCAACATTACCTTCGTTTCAGCAAAGTAAGTCAAATTCTTTGATTTCCAACGATCAAGGAGTTTATCCTCCAACAACATATCCGATTGATCAAAACGCGACATTCTATTCACAATCGGCATCATCACAACGAGACCAACCTGTTGAATCTACAATTTCAGGATTTTCTTCGATACAATATACAACAGCGCAACCATCATTAGTTACCCCATCATCACCTAAAGATGCTTATGCTTCAAGAATATCATTAAATTCAAACATTAATACTATTAATTCGACTCAACGTCCGATTTCTTCACCAAAGTCTCAGAGTGGTTCAATTGTTTCTAATCATCAAAAACCATTTTTAGCCACTCGTGAGACAAATTATGTCATCGATTTAAGCGATGAATCCGACAATGAACGTATTACTGGATTAATTAAACAAGTTAAATCGACTTTTAAAAAGGATATTTGTGCAGATTCTAAATTAGAAACTGAAGATGAAAATAAAGCACAATCGGAAGCAAAAAAAAAGTTGGAGGAAAAGGAACGTGAGATTAAACGCATGAATGAATTAATAAGTAAGATGGAAAGTCAAAAGAAACAAAATACCTCTACATTAATTTCACATGATCAGGTTGGCCCGAACTCTAGTGTTACAGCACTACAAGATAAAGTTGTTTCAAATTCTAATGCCACAAACACTAAAGTGCAAATGGGTCCTGGTCCAGGTATCGAACCACCTCCAGACATTGCAATAATTAGAGCAGAATTAGAAGTGTTTGAGGCAGCCAAAGCCAGTCTTAATGAAATACGATCTAAGGTTGAAGTTGAGGAGAGAGAACTCTCTAATATTCGATCTCGTATTAAAGATCAAGAACGGCTCGAAAGCGATTATGAAAAAATGCAACTTGATTTTAATGCACAACGTGAAGAGTTAATAAAAAGTCGGAAGGCTTTAGAAGTCAGGAAAGCGTTGATAGAATCTCAACTCGCTGATATTAGTCATCAAATAGAAGATAATAATTCATCAATTACTGGTAAAGAGGCAGAGATTGAAAATGCTTTGAGTGAAAAGGCTAAATCCATTACGAGGAAAGCGGAATTGGCTGGAAACGAGAAGACAGTATCTGAAAATATGATACAACTTAAAAAACAACTTTCGGCTGTTCATAAAACTATAGTGGCCAAAAAAGAATTACTCTTAAAATTGACCGGAAAATCATCGGTAAAGCCTAAAAATGAGGCACAGGCCAGTTCGTCTACGGTTAATCGTTCAGAGTTAAATTCCACTGGTAAACGCACCGTGTCTCCTGAAGATTCTACTTTAAGAGCAGTAGCTAAAAAAGCAAAACTAACATCGAGCGTATCCGAAGTTGCACAATTGTCTAAGCGAATGGAAAAGGTTAGCAAGGAGCATCAAGAATTGTTGCAAAGTTTAACTTTGTTAAATAAGCGTAAAGGGAAAAAGGTCATTACTTCACCGACCTCTAATGCAAACGCATTTGAGACTGATGTTGAAATGTTATATAGTAATAACGGTTCGTTGTTCGATTCCGCTAAAAGCAATGTTAAAGAGCCCGAATCTTTAAATTCTGAAAATGCCGAATTAGTAGATGCTAACGATTCTTATACGAAGAACGCTGATGTGAGCTCGCTTCTTTATGATTTTATGTCATCTTATTATCTCACTTAGATGTTAATAAATTGTTCTATTTTTAGACTCAGTCACAAGGACAGAGTGATTCATCCTTTGTACCTTACGATAGCATACTTAAGGAATTTCGGTCATATAGATTTCATCCACGTTACAAACAAGAAATCAGAAAAAATAGCTATAAATCAATTAAATATAGTCGTAACTATAATGTTGATCGTAAGATGTGTGTGTTTGAGTCCCAAAACCGTGGTCGTTGTAATGATGATGAGTGTACATCACAACATTGGCGAGACTTTCAGATGAGCGGTAAATTAATATCAACGATAACAATTCTTTTCACTAAAAATTAATTGAATTTTCTTAAATTATTTAGACGAAGAATTGATTTCTGATATGGCTTCGTATTATGAAGGACGTACTCCTGTTGAACAACAGGAATATCGTTCCGGTTTAGAAGCATTACTTAACAAACTTCGTGTGGAAGGGAAAACTAATGTTGACGAAATTATTGATGCTATTGTTATTTATCGGCAAGAGTTTGTTTCTAATCATCCAATTGACAGTTTTGAAGCTCCTCGCATAGTATTCTTTAATAAGAAGAAACCGTTAGGTCAAGGAATCGATAATGAAGAAACTTCATCAGCCTATGACACTGGTTACGTATCTGAATCTTTACCTACACCGGAAATTTCTGGAAACGAACAGGCTATGTATCAATCAGATGAAGAAGATTCAGAGAGTGATGATAATATACAGACAGATTCGGAAGATATTCGCGAACCTTTATATGAAATGCAACAAGACACAGTAGAAGATTTGAGAAATATAGACGTAAATTATTCTCAGAATCAATATCATATTTCACAGGATTCATCTGAATTAAGTTCTGATGAGCACGAAAGTAGTGATAGTGACGAATCGCAAGATGGAGGTGCAATACAGGATGAACATATGTATGTAGATGGTGAATCTTCTTTTTCACCATTACATATTGGATCACCTTCTCAACAAGGTGAAGAGATGCCAGAATCACAAGGATCTCAAACCAATAATGAGTCTTCTACTGGATTTAGGTTTATGGGTGCAATTTATAACTGGTTTAATAAATAGCTAAAATATTTAAGATTACTTGATCTACTATGTCGATCGTCGGAATTATTTTTTGAGATTTGTAATATGAACAAATTATTATGCCTCGATTTCTTTTTGAAAAAGGAAACATTAAAAATCATTTCATTTTAAAAAATTAAGCATCTACATTATAATAAAATAAAAAGAAAAAAAATATATGAATTTTTGATAATGTTTTATGATAAAATTTAAAATTATTTGCAATTCGTAAACTTTTACGATCGTTGTCATATTTGTGCGAAATAACGCCCCGTGCATTAATAAGATGAAAATTTTAAATTAACGCGTAGGCGCGAAATGACGTAACTTTGCGCGTTATCCATATCAGATACATAGAATTTTGAACATGACGTATTGGTGTTATTTTAATCAAACATGTTGGTTTAAAAGATGTGATTTCTGAAATAACGTACATGAGCATTATTTCGAGATTATACCTTCCAACGTTAAACAAAATTTACGACAAAAACAAGTTTTATTCTTTAGTTTTGAGATTTTATTTGTGAGATATTTATTGAAGTTTTATATTACATTGGTGATTGTCTATCAAAACATCCTAGCTGTGCAATGTGTTAAGAAAATAGATTGCACGAGTAATAAAATTACAAATTATATGTGGTGCCGCATACCTCTAAGTAGTGTTGTACATGGAAGTTGGGACATTTGAAACAATTTTTATAAATTGAAATTAAGATAATCTATTTTAATTCTTTAAAAACATGTTTAGCACTTAAAAAATATATAATTTTATATTTTTAAACTCAATTTATTAATTATTAAGACTTGAAACACTTTGAGACACTAGAACATTGGGACATTGGAACATAGCAAAAAAGGTTTGGATCAGTGAAAATGTACAATACAGCTCTATGGGCATAAGGAATGTCTAATTTTTACATCTGATTTATTAATCTAATTGGATCTAATAGGCTAAAAATCACATTTTGAATTTTTTTTGTAGTTAAGTTACCAAAAATGTATAAATAAAATAACATGATTTATGTAGATAGTGCAATTGTTTAAAATTTTTAATAAAAAAATATAAGTTTATTATTTATTGTAATTTAAAAATTTTATTGTTGTTAAGAATAGCAATTCTAGTATAGGTAATTAAATTATTATTCTTTAAACAATAGGCTCAGAGTTTAGATTTCATCAGTATTAGAATTTGGAAAAATAGACTTATTTTAACAATTTATTTATAATCTGAAAGATTAATTTTTGTTTTTTTTATGTTAAAGTCTTTTATTTTTGGGTTGTAACTGTTTTATTCAAGTTATAGGACACAGATGCCACTAGAGACTTTCTTATATAGGAAGTTACATCTAGTTACACATGCACTTTTGGTGTCTAATTTAAGTAGTTTGCTTACACATTGCTGTATAAGTTCTACATTAGATGTTATATCTGCAAGCCAGCTAAAGATCTTGACTGTTTAAACCTTCTGTATATGCAATTTATAGAAACATCTCAAGGCTACACCTATTAGAGTTCTTAATACTCATTAGTATCTTAAAACTATTTTATTCTTGACAGAAAACTTACTAGAGCCTTTATATTCTATACATATTGATCTAGTTTTATGCAACATGTTATAGTTACCTAATACTTACAGACATAGGAGTTATCTGTTTAACTGTTATATTATAATATTTTTATTCTTATAAAGTTTATCCAAACTCTAGTATCTATCTTTTTAACTTTTTCTTTTCATTTCTTTACTATTTAATTCAGAATCTGACAAACTTCTGAATTTCTAATTCAGATGGCCTGATACAGTATACTTTTGATATTCTTTTTCTCTGATAGTTCTAGTAATATAGTTGGTTATATGTTTCTCTACATATTTAGTCATTCAGTTGCATATCTATTTATCTTTATTATGTTTTTCTGAGTTTTTATTAGTTCAATAGCATTATCAAAGGTTTGTGCTACCTCTTTACTTATGAATTTTTAAGTAAAATTTTATTTTTTCAATTTCTTGATCTTTTGTCTAATGATTTTATCATAAGTTTGCATCAAAAACTTATATAATACTAGTTATTAACATTTTTCTATATATATATAATATTATACTTTATATAGATATTTTGAACTTCTAATAACAAGTAGAATCTAATTAGTTATATTCAAGATTATAGATACCTAAATTTAATTAATTAACAGGAAACAGTTTTTTATAATACTAGTTAATTTTCAAATTTTATTATAAATAGAATTTGAATTTTAGATCTGCCACTTGAAGAATAACAACCCAACTACTATATTAGGATTGTTATTCTCTGAAAAATTAATTTTGAAAATATATAATATATATATATATATATTTAAAAAGTATATACTTAAATAAAAAGTTTACTAAAAATTTTAAATAAAAAAGTATATATTTAAATAAAAAGTTTACTAAAAATTTTAAATAAAAAAGTAATATAACTTTTAAGTATTATTTATAAAGATTTTGATTTGAAAAAATAAATTTAAAGCAGATAACCTATATAGACAAAGATCTAAATAAAAAGTATTATTAATCTGAGTATAAAGTTATATTATATAAAACTAACAAATTGTAGTAAACTTTAAATAATATTAATACTAAATAAAAGATCTTTACGGGATGTGGCGACCTAGTGAAGTGGTCAGGTTGTCAACCCCCCAAGTGGTAGGTTGGGTGTTCAAATCCCATTGACGGCGA